ATACAACAGTCAAAATGAAGAAGTTCTCTATGTTGCAATTTTTTCAAAGATTGTGATTTGATGTTGTCTATGTTAGGATATTTGAATGTTTTAAGTGTTGATCCCAAGTAAATTGACTATTGCAGGGCAGAGCAAGGGAAGCTGGAGAGATTAATAAAAGCTTACTCACTCTCGGTCGTGTTATCAATGCACTCGTTGAGCACTCGGGTCATATTCCATATAGGTATATGGGTGAAAATTTCTCATTAGCATCTTGTTTGTGTTTGGGATAAAATTTATAAATAATTTTGCAAATGGCAGGGATAGCAAACTAACAAGGCTGTTGAGGGATTCCTTGGGAGGGAAAACAAAAACATGTATAATTGCCACAATATCACCATCCATCCATTGTCTGGAAGAAACACTCAGCACTCTAGATTATGCACACCGAGCCAAGAATATCAAGAACAAACCAGAGGTCAGTGAATTAGTCATCAGGATCACCTTTTGAGCTTTTTTTTTTTTTGCTAAATTCTCTGATATTATAAAGAAGAATTATCTCTTGCAAACAAAATTGAATTATTTTTTCTCATTGCAACACGTTGAAATAAATGAAATTTGTTACCATTACAGATTAACCAGAAGATGACGAAATCTGCTTTAATAAAAGATTTATATTCTGAAATTGATCGGCTGAAGCAAGGTAGTTGACTATTCCCTAAATTGTTTGCCAAGAAGACTTAATTACCTCTTCGATTGGTTCTTATATTTGATATTTTTTGCTTCCTTTTTTTATTTTTAATCAGAGGTGTACGCTGCAAGAGAAAAAAATGGAATTTATATTCCACGAGATCGTTATCTCCATGAAGAAGCAGAGAAGAAGGTTGGATTCTAACCATATGTTTGAATAGTTGAAGTGTTTGTCCCAAGTTTCATGGTGAATTAAATTTATTAGTATTATTATTAATAAATATTAGCTTTTACCTCAGGCTATGGCTGAAAACATAGAGCGCATGGAACTTGAGTCAGAATCTAAGGAGAAGGTATGTTTCATCAAAATCAACCCTTTAGTTCTTCCTGGTTTAACATTTGGCGGTCAAGCTAATTACACTTCCTTTTGTGCAGCAAATTACTGAGCTTCAGGAACTGTACAATTCACAGCAGCTGTTGACTGCAGATTTAAGTGAGAAACTTGAAAGGACGGAGGTATCACAATTTTGGATGGTCAACCGACAAATGTCATATTAACTCATTTCTTGTCTTAATACTGTGACAGAACTGAACTCTATTTCTTTTTTCAGGAAAAACTGGAGGAAACTGAAAATGCATTATTTGATCTTGAAGATAAACATAGACAAGCAAATACAACAATTAAAGAGAAGGAGTTTTTAATATTTAATCTCCTTAAATCTGGTGAGTTAAAAGATGCTTGATCACACTTCTCTGGTCTGGGGCATCATCTTCTTTTTCTCCTTTTTCATTTTCTTGATTTAATATTTTTTTTGGTCACTTTATTTTCAGTTACAAGGTAAGGTCTTTATTGACATGTACATGCACATTTCTGATAATAAGTAATGTATATGGTATCTGAATCTAGTTTGAACTCATGCCTGGTTCTAATATTAAATAACCTAATTGCTAATTCTTTCAGAGAAAGCACTTGTTGAGCATGCTTTTGAACTCCGGGCAGAGCTTGAAAATGCCACATCAGATGTCTCGCATTTGTTTGCCAAGATTGGTTAGTATCTTCCAGAGGGCATTTTGTTGAGCATGGTTTGTTCTATGAAAGTAATGGTTTTTTTTTAATGCTGTTTGGTTTTCAGAAAGGAAGGATAAATTTGAGGATGGAAACATAGCACTTATCCAAAAATTCCAGTCCCAGTTGACTAAGCAACTTGAAATCTTGCATAAGACTGTGGCTGCTTCTGTGACTCAACAAGAGCAGCAACTGAAAGGCATGGAGGAAGATATGCAGTCCTTTGTATCAACGAAGTCAGAGGTATGGTTTCAACATCACATTGAACATATTACGGGACTTGATTGATAGTCTATAATAGCTTATCCTTTGCATCACTGAAGGCTACGGAAGAACTTAGAGGAAGGTTAGGGAAGTTAAAGAGCACATATGGTTCAGGTATCAAAGCTTTGGACAATATAGCCGCAGAGCTTGATGGAAATTCCAAGTCAACTTTTGGTGACCTAAATTCTGAAGTTTCTAAGCACTCACATGACCTGGAAGATGTAAGCTGTATTCAGATAGCACTAGTTTTAAGTGGACCCCCCTTTTCTAATTCTTCTGCTTATGAAGTTATTTACATGGTTCAGCTCTTCAAAGGAATTGCTTCTGACGCTGATGCATTACTTAATGGCCTTCAAACTAGTCTTAACAAGCAAGAGGAGAAGCTATCTGCATTTGCACAACAACAGCTTGAGGTTTGTAATTTATTGCTTTGTGTCTAGGCTATAGCCTGTAATTGAGTTATTGAGGCACATTCTTTCTATTTCATATACAGGCACATTCCAGGGCAGTAGACAATGCTAGGTCGATTTCTAAAATAACAGTGAATTTCTTTGAGACTTTAGACATGCATGCATCCAAGCTGACCAAAATCGTGGAAGAAGCACAAACAGTCAATGACAACAAATTATCTGAATTTGAAAAGAAGTTTGAGGTAGTTATTGTTCTTAATTCAGACAGATGTGCTTTTATTGAAGCCTTTCATGGTAAAATACAATTCAATCTATTACACGTGTAGGAATGTGCTGCTTATGAAGAGAAGCAATTGTTACAAAAGGTGGCAGAGCTGCTTGCAGGTTCAAGTGCTAGGAAGAAAAAACTGGTATCTAGTGCTTTTAACATTGACATTCTTATGGGCTGTGCGTTCTTGATCTGTTCTTGATAACTTTTTTTGGGGATTGGGGAATAAGTTCCTGTATTCTTTTTTTTTTTTTGTATTCTTTTAGGTCCAAATGACAGTCCATGATCTCCGGGAAAATGCATTAGGCAAAACCAGTGAACTGCGGAAAGAAATGTCTATAATGCAAGAGTCCACTTCCGTTGTTCAAACTGAATGGAACATTCACATGGAAAACACAGAATCCCACCATCTTGAAGATACTTCTGCTGTAGAAAGTGGAAAGAAAGACATGGAGGAGGTTCTTCAGAACTGGTATGGGTTGTTTTTGTTGTGATGATGATGATGCATTAAGTACAGTTTTCCCTGGCATCAGTTTTCTGGTTTAATGGATTTTAAGTATCCACCGAACATTCTAAAAATTCCTGTGCAGTTTGAAGAAAGCGAAAATGAGTGCTCAGCAGTGGAGGAATGCTCAAGAATCCCTTCTCAGCCTAGAAAAGAGAAATGTTGATTCTGTGGATTCCATTGTTAGGTATGATACTTCCTCGAAAGTATTTTAGAAATTTTCAGATCTAGATCATTGATCATCTTGCTCTTTATTCAATTAGGGGAGGGATGGAAGCCAATCAGATCCTCCGCGTTCAATTTTCTTCTGCCGTGTCCACCGCCATTGAAGATGTAGACACTGCAAACAACAGTTACCTGACATCCATTGATTGTAAGTATCTAGATTCACAAAAGTAGATGAAAATATCAGATAAACTGATCAACAAAATACTGGCAGATTCGTTACAACTTGACCATGATGCTTGTGGGAACATGAATTCCATGATCGTTCCTTGTTGTGAGGATTTGAGGGAACTGAAGGGTGGTCACTATCACAAGATCGTAGAAATTACAGAGAATGTCGGGAAATGTCTGGAGGACGAGTACATGGTAAAAACTTGTGCTCTATTTTTTTTGTCTCATTAATGTTGCATATGAGAAGACTGAAGATCACTGTGAAGAAAAATCAGAAAATGTTGAATAAAATATTATAGCAGAAAATGTTAAACTCGCAGGTTGACAAGCCGTCTTGTTCGACTCCGAGGAAAAGGTCGTTCAACCTTCCCAGTATGTCATCCATTGAGGAACTCAAAACGCCTCCTTTTGATGAATTATTGAAGATATTTTGGGAAGCAAAAGCCTTAAAACTAGCGAATGGAGATGTAAAACTTCCCATGTTGTCAGCAAATGAAGCAGCAGCAGCCCAATCCTTGAAAGATTCCAGAGTTCCACTCACTGCTGTGAACATATAAAAAAAAGTGAACGAAGTACAACATATAAAAACAAAAATGGTATAGTGGTAAGAAGAATAGGAGCGTACAGAATCAGAATACGTAATGGCTGTGAACATCAACTCCCTCGCTCCTGTCTTGTATTCATTAATTTGTTTGTTGAAACAACAATTCCACTGGATGATGAAGGAAATCTCCAACATGGATACTAAACCAGATTTTCCTTTTTTTATCTCTTTTTAGTTTTTCGCATTGGGGGCAATTTCTATTCCTGCAAATCCCCCCTCCCCGCCTTTTTTTTTTCGGTTTTGGTCGGTGAATTTTAATATTTACCCCATAATTTTTTTAATGTACTTTGTTGGTAACTTGATTGCCTCAACGGTACTATAGGATAAGCCAGAGGTAAATTTGCATTTTAAAAAAAGGGAAAACCGGTAATTTTCTAAATGAAGATCAGAATTGCTAATAAGGATTAGCAAATAGTTAAAGCTTTAAGATCTGAAGGCAAAATATCGAAGTTCAAATCTCATTTATGGATTGACGGTTTGTCTTAACCTTCTCCTGCTCTTAAAACTTTTTGTGACAATAAATGAAGATGCAGAATTTTGTTGTGCTTCTTATTTCATTTATCCACTTGAAAATGTTTGGTACCAAAGTGAATCAATCAATATTCTTACGAAAGTCAATAGATTGAAACTTCGAATGAAAATTCGAATAAACTCAAACCAAAGGAATTTCTCAACATTTTTCTAATTCAACTTTGTTTTATCTAACGAGAAACTCTTCAGTCAACTCATTCCAAGTTGCAAGGAGGCGCTGCTAAGGTAGGTTTCGTTAAATACAAGCATGAATATGTAATCATCAAAATCTTATGCACAGAAAGGGAAGAACTAGGCAAAGGCATTATATGGCACATTATGATGCCAAATTTGAATGTTTTATCAGCTCAGTCAACATATGAACTATATTTGAAATTATCAAAATATAAAATCAAAAAATATTTATGGAATGCAGAATCATGAAGTATCCACTTGTAGAAAACACATTCTTGCGCCTCGGAAGATCACTTTCTAATCTAAATTTTGTGCTAGAATCGCTATACATTTAACCTTCCAACGTATAACACCCACCTTGAATAGGAATGACAACCGCGACTTCAAGCCTAGGTGGATGTTGACCTGCAAAAATGTCAGTGTTTCACTGTGTCAGAAACGTCGCAAGCAAAAAGATGCAAATATCTTGATCTCATTTCTTTAAGGTGCCAATAGATCGCCATGGTTAAGACTAAAGCATTATCTGGTTGAAGAGATTTATAAAGTTGCCAACAGCTAAGAAACAAAAGTATGAACACCATGAATATTTCATAAAACTTTGGAAAACTACCTGAAATATTTGATCATAATAAGCTTGCACTCAGGAGTCCAACTTGGCTTTCTCTCCCAAAAGTTTCATCATCAAAATCTTCATTGGTGGAATTTTCTTGACATCGCAATTGGCTCCCTTGCACAGGATTTTGGTCAAGAGGCTCCCATGTCATTGGATGACCCCGCTGAGTGTTACCTTGCTCGGACCCATGACTGGTGTCAGCATTGTCCTCTGCATTTTGTCTATCATGACACTCCATCACCATCTTTTTATCATCATCAATGCACGAAGGTTCAGCATTAAGGTCAGATCCCAAATCAACTCCCGACTGATCCTCAGTTCCATGAAAAGCCACAGTTACAGCTCCTTGATCAGATTGCTCAGCAGTATCTTTCCTCGGCCTCTTCCATTTCTTAGTAGATGAAGTACCATCATCCTCAAAATCTTCTTCTTCTCTTTCTCTATGTAAATAAACCCACAATTTCCTCTCTCCATCAAATTGTACACAAGGATCACGTTCATAATGCAAACGGTCTAAGGCCCCACTAACAACCTGGTTAACTTGTGCATCAGACACATCTTCAACAATGTATTGAGAGTCTTTTATCAAAGTACAAACATCTGCACGGGTGCCAATACTTCCAGGCAATCTGGAAGCAGCATCTCTCACAAGACAAAGAACAGTAATATGTGGTGGCCGATCACTTTTCAGCATAAAATGCTCTCGAGCCTTTGAAGTTGGCTTACCTCCACACCTTCTCAAGGGAGCAACTATTGATTTTTTGCCATCAGCAGCTGTGTAAGAGAAGGCCCTGTCAGGAATAGAATACCTAAGAAGCTCCTCTCTACGAAAATAAGCTCTCACTTCTTCAGAACTTGGACTAATGGTATTAAGGCTTTTCTGAGCTCTTAGGTCTCTGAACCTTTCTTTCTCATCGAAATTGACTTGCATCAATTCAAGCGGTGGTGCAGGAAGACTCCCTATTTGTTGGAGAGTCTCTTGACCATTTTTTAGCCAATTTGCAAAAGAATCAACCAACTTGACAAGCATTTTGTGAGGAAGACCCCAGGCTTCAGGTGATGTCACCTCCTCAATAGTCTCATGGTCGTTTAAACTATGAGCAACTGGACCAACCCAAGACCAACTTTTAGTGAACTTTTCGTAGGCAACAAGTGCCTTCCAACCTTTGGCTCCCAAAGGTGCTGTTTTTGATGAGAAAATTTTCAGAACTCCACGAACTAAATCTTGAAGCGGCTCTTGTGTCTCAAGGATACATGGATCTCCAGGATTCACTGTTAAACAATTAACAATCTCATTAACAGTTAGAGAAGGCACACTTTTTTGCACAGAATGGTCCAAATTATTGGTAACTGTATTGTCCTGAGAAAGAACCCCATTCACACCACCTTCCTGCTTTCCATTCTGCTCCTTGCTAGGTTTGCCAACCTCTAAGGAATCTTCTGGAAGTGGAGTAATCATTGCCATGCGAACTGCAGAAAGAAGATGTATAATTGAGAACGAGAAACCAGTCTGAACTGTAGGGGTAATCAAAGTAAACGGTTTTTTCTGTGGTTTGGTTTCCATCTCCACATCTGCGACTCCCACATCTGCACCATGTGGTTCAGAAGCTTCCATATCAGGGGTACCGGCATCACCCTCCACTTTCCGTTTTCCCTTTTTCTTCAAGAAAACGGAATCATCAGTTTCCAGCTGAAGGTTGGACTGCAGGTTACTATCTTCACCTGTTCTGTCAAAATCTGCCACATACACCTTTCCTTTCCTCTTCTTTGTCACTGTGTTGCATCCTAGCAATGAAGCTTCAGATTTTTCACCACGATCATATGCTTTAATGCTAGGGCCTTTCCTCCTAGTTCTACCGAGGTTATTTTCCTTTGCCAATGCTAGTGTCACAGGTGAAGCATCCTCCTCATCAACAGGATAATTAGACAGATAATTTGACTGAGACATACAATGATCATAGGCAACTTCACCTTTCTGCCTTTTCTCAGTAGGGTAGGCCCTCGTTGAGGACATGTGTAACCTGTCACCAGGTTCCCCTCGTAACTGGCCATTCTTGCCCAACTTGGAAACTTTTTTCCTGTCAACCTCGTCCAAAACTCTAGAAGAAGAACTATGCAAGCGACTTCTTCCATGCATCTTACCCTTCTGCTTTCCTTTCAAATAGTAGCTTTCTACTCCTGGCACATGCACATTTTCCCCAAAGCTCTTTTTGGAGAAGCGTGTGATTCTGTCATGAGACCATCCATCCTCCATACTATCTTTCTTCAAAGATTTGGTCTTATTAGAACCTACGCCAGACTTCAATGAAGACCTCAGCCGAGAACCTTCTATGACACCACCAGGGTACACCAACTTGCTTCTCATTAGAGGATTGCTATCCTCATCATCATCAAATTGCTCAGAAGAGTCAGATTCTGTTTCTTCATTTTTAATAAATGCTCTACTACCTTTTGAAACGGCCATAACTGGTCCTCCATTTTGCACATAGTTCCCTCTGTTCTTCTCTTGTGATGATTTCATTCTACTGTCAGAAAGCAAGAATTGGTCATTCATCTGTGGTGAGGAAGCTTTATTATAAGATTTAAAACTGAGATCAGGAGACTCTCCCCCTGTTTTCCATTTCTTGCTCCTAATATTCCAATCATCAGATCTAACTGAAGAATCCACAGACAAATCTTCTCCTTGGTTCTTATTTTGCCAAAACAGTTCAGGGCGCTCAGATAAGTCCACTCGACTCCCTTTTGAAGGCAACGGTGGAGTTCGGCCTTTCATAGGCTTTATCTGATCTCCAACTGCAAATTGCTGATGGTTTTCGGAATACTTGGACCTTTTGGAAAAATCATAGGATGTTCTCATGCTAGGTGGCTTTGAAGTATACATTTTTGCCTCAGAGAACTGATTCACATCCCTGTTCCTACCATAGGCATGCAAATCATGCTTTGAAGACAGAGAAAAACCCATGAAACTGTCATCCGCAAATTCTTCCCCTCTTAAAAGGTCATATTTCTTCCCTGCTCTCAATGAACCAGATTTGCCCATGATGCTATCATGCACAGCAATTTGGTCTCGCTGAATACCCCTTCCAAACATTGGGTCTTCAGCATCATCACCTAACCTCATCCGATCCCTTGACCTGAGTGCTGCCCCAGACTCAGATTTCTGTCGAGGAAGAGTTCCTGGCAAACCATAAAGCTCAGAATTAATATCCAAACCAGGGTAAAAGCGGCTGCCAAACTCTTTTGCAGAAGGAAATTTTGACCCACCTGTCTTCAGTATACCTTTTGGATTCTGCTTCCCATATTTTGCCGGTTCCAAACCCATCAGCTGTCCTTGTGAAATGAATTCTAAATTAGGATCAACCCCATAGCCAGAGTAGCGACCCATTTTCTGCAAAGCTTTCCGGTCCTTAACCCTTTTGCTCCACAACCCATCACCCAAAACCTCTCTTTCGGAGGATTCAGAATCCTTATCTTCCAATTTTTCATACATCAAACTCTTTTGACTTCTCATAATATTCAAAACAAGAAGCCGCTCCTCAATACTGTATCCCTTACAATTAAGCCAAGTATCCCTTATTTGACAAAGATTAACAACCATATTATTCTGATGCTTCCTCAAATTATGGTAATGCTGCCGCTTCCGAAAGAAATTCAAACCCTCCCTATAAAGTGCAACCCTCGGCTCACACAACCCTCCTTTCAACATATCAAACAACTTCTTAATAGGACTCCCAAAATGAAAATTATTACCCTTAAGAAGGTCATTCAAAGTTCGCATAAATGTGTCCTGATCCATATCAGGCAAAAGCTTAGTCAGGCTAAACCTCTCTTCATCACTTAAGCACTCATTCCACACATCAAGAGACAAAATATCTCCCAATCCAGGAAGATCATATAACTCCAAAGAAACAGAACAAGTCAAGTTACCAACTTGGCAAAATTCTGCCCCAGTTTCACCTAATTCCAATAAATCAAAGTCATCCGAACCTGCTCCTGAATCAGCATCATCAAATTCATCATCATCATCATCACCATCAGAATCAACGGCTGAGCTTCGACGTTGAAGCTCATCCTCATCACTTGACACAGTGGTATCTCTACTACCAGGCGAAAACTCCGAATCAAACCGCGAAACTTTGAAGTTATTCTTCTCAATCGCCATACTAACATAAAACGCCAAAAAAATTCTAAATTTTTCAAAATATTATTTTCACCGTTTCCAAATAAAGCCAATTCATCAAAACCCTAACAGAAACAAATAAACAAAAGAAATTCTCAAAAATTTGAAATTACAAACAGAATAAAAACATATACAATAAAACAAATATAATGAAATTAAATTGAAGAAATATAACGAAACTGAGAAGAATAAATATACCTCAAGAGAATCGAGGAATTAAAGATTTGGAGATTTCTTCGTTTTTTTTTTTTTTCAATTGAAGAAAAATAAGAAGAGGAAAAATTGAGAATTTGGTTAAATCTGGGAAACCCTAAGGGGAATTAAATAAAATGGGAAGAAGATAGGGAAGGGGGTTGAAGAAGACGGTGGTGACGTGGAAGAATGGTAGCCGTCGGATGGAGATTGGAGGGGAAAAGACGAAAAAGGACAGGGGGCGCGGAGGTTGAGGAAAGAGAGAAAGAAAGAGAGTGGAAAGAAACTTAAGGGTTTGGTGAAAGAGAGAGGAAAGGAAGAGAAAGGGGGTGACTCGACTCTACTCGACTCAGTGAGTTGAGTTCGTGCGAAAGAGAAAGAGGGAAAGAAAGCCAGGAGAAAGTGCCCCATCATTTAGGAAGTTTCCGGCCGTTGGATCTGTCCCTCTTTATCCTCTATTCCCCTCTTCGACGTCGTTTCAATCCCCTTCGCCTTTCCTTTTTTTTTTTTTTTCATTTTAAGGTTTCCTTTTTCGAGTTGAAGTCCAGTCTCAATGGAAAAGGTCGTGTTGGAATTGGATAAACAAAAGGTTATATTTATCACAAACGAAAACTTTTTTTTTCCAAAAAACAAGTTTTAAAATTTTTTCATTTGATGCAATTGTTATTTTAATTTCAATTCATCTACAAAAAAGTTCTTATTCATTTCAATTTATATAAGCCTTTCTAGATTCAAAGTAAAAATTGTTATGATTAAATTATAAATTATTGTGTTAAGAAAAAATATTATCTATGATCAATGTGGATATCATTTAAAGATATAATATTTTTGAGATTATTAATTTTGCACATCAAAATTATTAGAAAATTATAAAAGATTTTAAGATTTAGTAACCTTATGATATTGAATATAGAAATAAGTAAGTCCAATATTACTAAAAAGAACATGAAGATTAAGTAAAAAAAAATATCATATATTTCAAAGTTTTTGATTCTTCACACAAGATTACCAAAAAACAAAAAGCCATAAAAAATATTTCTTACAATCAGCAACTCCATGTTCAATATTTCCTTAATCTTAACATAAAAGTTGCTAACAAGCACACATAATAATATTACTAAAAATTAGATGAAAATTACGTATACACTAAAATTATATATATAAAAAAAAAACTACAATTATTATTAAAAAAAAAAAAAGCATTGTCGTATAGCTGATCTTAATACATTGTTTCACCTGCTATTATAACAAAGCTTCCATTTGTTGACACATTTTCAAGTATCTTTTGTTAATGGTATTTTTGGATTATCTTAGTTGAAAAGAGGTGAGATGAGGCTAAAGGAAGGCAGCTAGAACCTGTAATTAAAGAACACAATTAGAAGACGTCGGAATTATTATTTTGAGACATACTTCAACGCTCAAATTAATATTAAATATGAAAAAAAAAAATTAAAGTAGTACAATGTGTGGAAGAAACTTTAATGGCGGGAAATTTTAAAGTGTAATAGTATTTTTTTATATATTTTATTTTTTAATTAATTGAGGTATATGCATAAAATTTACCATAAATTTAAATTGATAAATATGAATTATATTTAATAATTTTAAATAAACTAAACGTTAAATAATCAATTTTAAAACGACTGACTTAACATATTATCAGTAAAATCTTAAGCGAATCCTTCCTTCGACGATAAGTGAGTCATTTTCTCGAAATCAGGTGACATAACTATCAAAGCTTATCTTATCTGGATTACCTCAAGGCATGATCGTGTTAACTAAGCCTTGACCAAGTTGACTGTCGACCACCTTGGGCGTAACAATTTTCGAAAGGGCCAGCCATATGGAGCCGCATCAAGCCATGCAGCTGTGAGTTTGGAAAAGCCATTGATTTTTCTCTCCCTGAATTTGATTACCTGCTGATATTGTTGCAGCTTTGTTCTACTGTTGAACTGCTACATCTCCCATGTATTGAAGAAGCTATTCAGGCCCACTTAAACCCAATCCAATTCTGGCCCATGGAAACTTCTGGCTACAAGCCTGCAACTCAAATTCAGGAATCAAGATAATGTTACAGTCATTTGTAATTATTTTCTGAAGATTGTGCCATTGGTTTCATCCCCTCTTTTTTTGGTTTCCTTTGCCAAAGACATTAGTACCAAAAAAAATAATGGTGGAAGAAAAAGGCGGCGGCTAGCAGTGAAATCTATTACGGCCTAAGATTTTAATGCAATGTTGGGAGCTGGTTTTTTAAATTTTTGGTTCACACTTATCTGGTACATACTTATTATTATTGCATGCTTTTATTATGCATGTTACTTGTTTACTTGTTATATGCTAAATTTAATTATATCGGCAGGAGTTATATCTTTTGTCCCTCAAGTGGAAATGTTCCAATAATTGTTATGATGCTTTTTTTATAATTGTTTTGTTTTCAGGAAAAGATTTATACGAAGTTTTTTGAATGAAATTTACAAAATTTTCAATTAAAAATCAAAATTGATAAATTAAAAGATCTCATTATATAAATTAAGTATATAAATTTTAAAAAAATTTTAACAAATTTTTATATATTTTTTTATATAGATATTTTCAGTAAAAATATTAAAAGAATTTTTACCGTTGAATAAATATTGATTAAATTTGAATTATAAATAATTTTTTTAATAATTTTTTTTACATATTGTTGATTTTCACATTAAATTTTATCAATATATCAATTTTAAATTTTTATTAAAATTTTTATTAAATCATTTTTAAGAATGAACTTTATAAATTTTACCTAAATAATTTTATCTAAGTTTTTTCCATTGAATAATATATAATTCATTAAATAATGTGTATTTGTTTTACGTAATCACAATCAAAATCAATTTACATTATTGGTCCTTTAATTTTTTTTTATAATTTGAAACTACCCAAATCTAAATCTTGATTACTAAAATTAAAAATTCAACATTTTAAGGCAAAATTTTGATGTCATATATTCTTTTTAAAACCTGTAAGTACCTTTTATACGAGTTTGATGATCAAACTTATGATTTAAATGTTTATTAATTTAGTTTTTACTATGAATTAGCCAACTTTATATCAACAAGCAATGCTTAGACTGTTTAGTGGATTAAATTTGAACTCATTCATATTACTTAGAAATTTAAGTGAAACTTTGTCGATTATTCCTTAGATCAATTTGTATATCATTGAAGTTTGTACTTATAAGTTGTGGATTCAAAAGAATTTAAGTGTACAATATTCTTTTTAACCAAGTACATATTAACATATGAGGGTTTAAAGATAGAATAAAAACTTCAAAAAAAGATCTAAATGAAACTTTGTTTATAACTATGTCAATAATTGCAAATAATTTTAGTTTGGAAAAGCAAAATTTTAATAGGTTGAACCTTTTTTCTTGTTCTAAAAGTATAATCAAGCTCAGCTGTATGTGTGTATATATATATATATATATATATATATATATATATATATATATATACTTTAAAGTTTGTAAAATAATGTAGGTTTTGAGTGCATTTACTACTGAGTACTATAAAGGGAGTACTGCATTTATAAATGAAGAAAAAAAAAAAGAAAAAAGAAAGAGTCCAAATGGAAGAGGGTTTGATGTTTCATGTCAAACTTTTTTTTTTCCTTAAATGATTTTTTTTTTTTTTTTGGTGATTTGCATTGACTTGTCTGAAAGATCGAAGATCAGTTTGAAAAAAGCTGATTTCAATGTGACTCCATGTCCATCAAGTACTGGTGTTGCACTTACATATATGCCAGCCTTAAGATGCATAAAAGACAGGCTGAAACAAATTGAAAATAAATGTAAAGAAATGAAACAACACATTTTTCAAGCCAATATTCTAGAATTCTGATGATTTGAAATGGGAATTTGAATTGGAAAGAGGGAAAAACAGTGCAGATTAATAGGTAAAAAGTAATAGTAGTAGTAAAAGATAGGAGCAGTAGCATTACTCACAGACAATTTAGATCTTTATCAGCCTAAAAATTACAACACATTGCAGAAACCCAAGAAAGCAAAAACAAACAAAATTACAACCAGATGAACACTTCATAAAAAAAACAAAAATTAAAAACCTGGCTACAAGTTACAACCTAGTCAGACAGAGGGAAGAAAAGTGATAAAAGAGGGGGATGGGGGGTTAAGGGAAGGTTAGGGGGTTAGCAGGTGTGGCGTTATTGCTGATACAAGAGAGAGGCTTGGGAGAGTTGTTGCACTCTTCCTTGAGATTTGTGGCTGTGACTGGGAAAAGTTCAAGGGTTTTAAGGGGTGGCCTGGACCTGGTGGTTGAGTAGTATGGTGGTGATAAAGGGGGACCCATATCAACCATCACTAACCAATCACTGCCGTTCATTCTCATCATGGCCTTATCCATGTCCACTCTTTCTGGGATGTCAAACTTCCACGTGTAGTTCATCACTTGCTTTGCTGCTGCATCCTCATGAATCCCTGCCTGCTCCCAAAATAATTACCCACAAAATATGGTTAAATGGTAAAAAATAATAATAATAATAATAATAAAAGCTCAATGCAAAAAACTGACCGGAATAGTACAGTACTAAGATTAAGCAGCGAAGAAGAGGGTCAAGAAAAAAATAAAGTGAATAGATTTGTTTGCTTCATTTAAAAGCTAATAGCAAATAAGACAATTTTGATTTTTAGTGCCATTGAATCAAAACGAATAAAAACAAAGTACCATGCATGCACACAATGGTGTGTAAGATATTTGAACTTTGGGTTATTAATATTTGTACATAAAATTAGGTTTCCTGTCAGTCAGAAAAATTACAAAACAATGGCTGCATGCATAGGACACTAAGATAATTCTAAATTTTAAATTTTATGTACAATATCTTTCATCAGTCATTTTTCTCTTCCTGCAAAAAACCGTTACACTTGTTTTTTTTTTTTTTTCTTTTTTACCTGGGGAAAAAGACTGGCTGAGTTATAGTATGAAAGATGTTGAAAAGCAGGAGAGGCGGCAGGAGAATCAAAGTAGTGAAGAAAATGGTGGTTAGGAAGGTTTTGTTGAAGCTGATGCTGATACTGATGATGATAAAGTTGTTGTTGTAGCTGTAGTTGCTTGGTAAGTTTCCTTCTAAGCTTCTGTCTTTCTCTTGCCTTATGGTTTTGAAACCAATAAAAAACATTCTTTCCTTCAATCTTGCCATAGGCGGAGAGGTTAGAAGTGATTAGTTGGATTTGAGAGGCATTTGGGGTTCTAATCCCACTTCTATACATCTCTTCTAAGATCATAAGCTGTTCTGGTGTTGGACACCACCTAGAGGAGGCTGCTGGAGACATTACAAAACAAACAAACAAACAAACAGATCCCTAAGATTTGACTCGCAGTACTACTGCAAACCCTGGGTATTGGTTTTGGGTTGAGAAAAAGGGTTTCAAAAAACAGGTATAAATAGATGGACAAAGGGGAAGAGAGAGCAAATAACAAAACTCCAATATATGCAAACGCAGTGTTAGAGAAGTAAAGTAAGAGAGACAAAAGGAAGGAGAGAGAGGGTCTAATAGTGTGGAAAAAGTACAAGTGCAGCGTTGTCATGCTGATGTTTCCGGTTTCCCTGAGAGGGGCATTCAAGTGTTGGATTTCAGTATAATTATATTGCACAGCTGAGAAAGAGAAAGTGATAGAATCTGGAAACCAAGGTAGAGGGTGAGTGAATGAATTAGGGGAAACTCGAATGATTATGTCAATATTTACTTTGGCTATCAAACAGTGGATATGAAGCACCTAGCTAGGCACACCTAAGCTAAGCAAAAATTTTAATGGTGTTGGTCGGGGACAACAGCAAGTAAATTTTAATACGTTACAGATAAGCGTTGATGAAGCAATTGGCTTTTGCATACATGAGCATGAGCTACGTACTTCGGCCGCCATGATTGCAGACGAAGTTATTCACACACCAAGTACCCCCCATTTTTGCATTATTATTACTTTTTAGCACCACTTCTTTCATCTTAATAACATTATATGTTTTTAGTAAAATTTTGATCTCCCTCTTAAAAGGGGTAAGATTTGTAGGGACAAGTCTTGTTTGTTATAGTCAGAGCTCAAAATTTACCATGATAAATATTATGTACTTAACAATATTTTATGTTAGAAAAATCACATTTTGAATTCGAGTTGTTTAATAGTAAACTCATAAGTGGTATTAACAATCAAATTAGTTATTATATTATCCTTTCATTTCTTTTTTAGGATGATTGTTGTCTCTTCTTATATAAAAGGAAATAAATTTAAAAACTTTCAATACCCTTTATCCCCTCAAATATTTTTCATATATATTTATAAAGAAAAAAAAAATACTACTACTATCTAGCAACTTATATGAAACCGATAATTAAAATGATGATGAATATAGTGCCGTGTTATTAAGCACATTTTTTTTAAGGAACAAATTCTATGGTTGACGGCTTGATTAAATCCGAAATTTCTCGCTCGGGCACTTCAATATTGTGATTTAATTGTGTTGTGACTTTTTTTTTTTTGGTCTTAAAATGTTTGTCATGTATTAATTTTTTATGGAGCTTAAAAAATCTTTTTAATTTTAATATATTTAATTTTAATTTTTTAAAAAAATTAAAATTTTATGATTTTTAATGTAAAAATTAAAAAATATATATAAAAAGTAAGAGTTTTAGGTGTTTAAAAAAATATAATTTTAGAACATTTTAAAACAAAGTGAAAAAAAAAAAAAAAGAGTCAGGGGGAATAGTATCTTTCTAAACTGTTTTTATGTTATCTTGAACTTCCTTCTAATAATATAATAGTCTGCCTTTAAAAAAAATATATACTTTATTGACTTTAGTTTGTTAAATTTTTAGAACTATTGATTTATTATTATTATTTTTTATATTGCAAAGTGGGGTCTATCTTTGTAAAGACATATCTCACAAGTGGGGCATTCTCTATAAAAAAATTGACGTCACAAGAGTAAATTGAATATATCTCTTCTCTAGCATCAATAATAATAATAATAATAATAAACTTTCACAAAATGTAACACATTATTTGGGGAAAAAAAAAAACTTAGTAGTGAAAGAGTATTGAAACGGTTGATGTAAATGATTAAAATTTTTAAAATATATTCATAGATTTTTTTTATAAATTAACTATTTATTTTGACCTTAAAAATAAAATAATCTCTTTAATCCTAAAACTTTGGGGCATCAAAAAGAAAGAGCATTGGAAAGATAGGTATATGATTAGTCTCAGTCAACAGCAGTAATAATACCAAATAAATAAATAAAGAGCCCTCTTGAATTTTTCCTCCAACCCCATCGCCATGATTCTCTTCAAGAATGATACTTGTACGTGTATGTAGGAAGTGGGTTGGTTTCTCAGCTTTTAGGAACCATAAACTTTTAATTTTAAAACAAATTTTAATTTTTAATAATATATATATATATATATATAAAACATTGCTCAAAATACCGAGTGCCTTTCATTTTTCATCATAAAAATGAAAAAACTAAATTTACCTGTGAGAAAGGGAAAAAAAAAGAAAAGAAAAATAACTGTTTGCTTCATGTGAATGCATGGCTACATTTAACGATATTTCAGCTATTAGTTACTTTTCCATTGGTATCCTGACACTTTTCCATTGGCATCCTGACCACATCCTGGACAAAAGGAGAAGAGGGAGGAGAGATTTGGTTACTGATATGACTGTCAGGGTACTCAAAAACCTGGCCAGGAAGCCAACCAAGGTCTTGTCATTTGTGATTGTGTTTGCTGCTCTAATTGTAAGGTATCCAATAACTGTTTATTTAATCATTTTTCATTAGCATTCAGGGTTTTTTGAGCACTTTCAAAACTGTTTGATGTTTGAAGTTTGAAGTTTGAAGATAGATGTAGCGTGACAATAATAGCACCTCTGTTTCTCCCATTGATGAGCTGCCTTCCCAACCGCGTTTTGCTGTATGGTTTTTTCAACCTCATTTGTCATAGGCAGGGAGGGGTCTCAAGCTCTTGCACTGGAACAGCTCGCCATCTCTCTTTCTCTCTCTGTTCAAATTGGTTTCAGTGACGTAAGGCGTGGACAAACCCATAAATGCATGCAGTCCAAGGCACTGTCCTTTTGCCTTCGCATGGTCTTTTCTCTCTGCCAACATTCCCATTAAATATCAGCCGTTCATCAACCTCCCTTGTTCTCATCCCGCAAGAATAAACTGTTGTATTAAAATTGTGTTGAATTTAGTGATCGGAGATTAATTCAATAATTCAAGAAAATAAATGAAAAATTTTAAGTAATACATTTCTAAGAAGATTCTTTTAATCTATTTCCTCTGTTTCATTTCTTTTATCCATAATTATTTTTGAGATATTCTAAAATTATATTTTTTTTAACATCTAAAATCTTATTTTTATATTTTAAAATTATTTTTATGATTTTTTTTACTTTTTTATATTAAAAATCATGAAATTTTAATTTTATCAAAAAATTTTAATTTTAATATTAATTACATTAAAATCAGAATTTTTTTTCTTAAATTTCATGAAAATTAATATCAACCAAACAAATTGAAACAAAAGAGTAATAATTTTCTCCCTATGACAATAGTGTAAATAGATTCTTGAAAACATTATCTCAAAATACAATGCTTATAGAATAATACAATTACAAGTCAAATTCTTTTTTAATACAACTAACCTTTGAATTAGAAAATAAAAGTGAACAAAAATTAATGGTTTAGTTTTTCAAAAATTGGATGTAAAATTATGTTAAATGAAAATTAATAAAATTATTAATAACCATCAATTTAAATTTTGAACAATTTTTTATAAAAAGGTATCACTTGAACAAAAGAATCATCATTTTTGTAACAAAATATCATGTTCAACGGATAAAATTTTGAACTTCTAATAAAAAATATATAAGGAGGGGCAATCTATTGGCACTTAAAGAGCAATCGGATGCTCATACTAATTTTACTCCAAATTTTATTTTTATACTTTCAAAATTAAATTATTCAAAGCAAAAATAGAAATTACATAATTTTAAATCTTTTTATTTTATTAAAAAAACACTTTAAAAATATTTATTAGTAATACACGCAAAGTAAACTTTCCTTCTTCAGTTATTTTTTTTTTTTACTCTGGTTTTTTGTTTTTGATGGATTCCCAACGCATGATCGGCAATCATTACCCCGTTTTAGCCAACGATGGTGGCTGATATAACTTTGTCTGTTGTTTCGGCATGGCATCAACGTCAAACATTGGTAGATTGGTAAAGTACATTCATAAAAACTATTACGGCTCTTTGCCTGCTACAAAAATGTTAATCTCCATATATGAACAACTTCGACAGCCAATTCAAGCGAAGAAGACAAAGTGGGTCTCTGGCATTGAGAAAGTTGGTAAGCGAGTAAAATCTCACATACTCCTCCCTCCCTCCATAAATGACAAAGCTAGGGAAGGAGTGAAAGTGTGAACATGGCACAGTAGAGAAAATATTTTTAATAATATTGATTAATATTATTAAAAAATATGTTCAAAAATATTGATAAAAAATTTATTATGTAACATTTTTAAAATATAAAATGATAATTATAAAATTTTTAACCATTATAATTAGATATTATCATTATTGTTTTGTTTTATAATTTAGTATTTTTGAGTTAAGTTTTTGTTAAGATAAAAACTGTCAACGAATTTATTAATTTTATTGATAAAATTTTTTAAAAATTTTAAAGTTTTAAAAAATTTATAAATACGCTACCTAAATACGTGGAACCCGCTGCTGTGTACAGTATACACAAGATAAAACAATACAGAAAACAAAGGATTCCGATCATAAGCTGCCATTGGCAAAGCCAAAGTGTGTAGTCACATATCAGTACCATTCCAGAATACAGAAGAGAAGTAAATTTTGTCGAAAAAACAAGGACAAATACGTCAAGTCAGATCTGAGGCCCCATTATATTTATTTATACTTTTATATAAATGCCAAATTTAGATTGCTTTCGTCATGCATGTATGCCTGGATATTGATTGGACGCCTCCTTGTGTTCCCTGCACAGTTCATTTCCTCACTGTCCTTCCTGAGTCCTTCCCCTCCCGTCTTTTTCTTTGAATAACGTTATACGCCCTCGTTTCCGCCATTGCCATGATCTTCTCTCTCTGTCAAGTTGCTGGCCCACTTTCCATTGTCTCAATTAGGTTTCCCTTCCCTGCTGCTATCTTAATTTTACATAGCTTTTTCTTTTCTTTTCTTTTTTTAGTTTATTTTTTGTATTTTAGTTGAGGTTAAATTTTTTTTTTTAAAGAGATTTTAAGAGCGTAACTTTTAATATCAACATAAGACATTCGAAAATTTATTAATTCATCTCTTTATCAATTAAACTAATTAACCTTTACGAGTATAGCTTTATTTTTTGTAAATTATATATAATTTTATATGATAAATTAAAAGTTTTGACAGCAAAAGCATCAAGGTTTGAGTCTAAAGGCATGGAATGCTAGGCATCGTATGTACGACTTGCATGCAATAATTATATATTAAACCTAAACGTGATAATTTCAAGTATGATATGATAATAAGATATAAAAATGATACGAATAAAAAATATAAAAATAATACGATTTAAAATTTTGATAAAAATAATAAATAAATTTAATAAAATCAAAAATATATATTTCATATTTTCATATCAATCGACACGAATTGTGATAAATTAATAATTTTTATATAAAATAAGACATAAATACATAAATTTTTAATATTTTACATGATACGAATATACAAATTATCAGATTTAATTAAACCTAACAATATAAAACATGATATACTGATATAATATAAATATGATAAAAAAATAAAAATTATAAAATTTAAAATTTTAATAATTATTATATATAAATTTTATAAAATAAAAAATATATTTTAAATTTTTATATCAACGTAAATTATAATCCTTAATTTTTATGAATTTTAAATTTTTATTCTATATAAATATACGAATTTTCAAATCTATTATAAATCATCTCGTCTTAAGCAGCCCAATATTCAGCAACAAGAAGAGGAGACGACTAGTTGTCTAGTTGCCTTTTCACCGGCCGTGCATGGCTTCCTTGCATATTCCAAAAGTTCATCACCATATTCATGACCTCGAATGAGACCACTGCACCAACCTTACCAGGATTGTTGAGAGTATCTCTATTTAATTAAAACCAGCCAAAGGGGAAAAGGTAGTCCTGTACATCTTTATGAATGTTCATCAATTTGTGTTTGCAACAGTACAATCTTATTAAAGGTTGTATCGATGCACTCTTGCTCAAGGATATAAGTTACAGTACGTTCCATATATACGTACACGTTATAATCGTTAAGTGTTAAATTAAGATTCGAGATATTTAGATAATAGGTTGGATTTTTTTTTCAAAGATAGAACACTTTATTAATTTCAAAACCGGTTATTTTGGATTAACCCAAAATCCCATATAAATCACACATATGCTCTGAACACGAAACGAAAATCCAAACCCACGTACTTGCGAAGCCTCGGCATGTCACCTTTGGTGAACCTGTGAGAACGCCCTAATGGGACCATATGCACGCAGGCATAAGTTTTTTGTTCAGAGACAGAACAAGTTATTATCTCCAAAAGCGATTATTTTATAATACAAAATTTCGTATAAATGCACACACACCTCAAACCTTCTCGATACGAGAAAGCTTAGGTCGGAGTTTCTAAGTCTAAAACTATTGCTAGAAATTTCAAATTCAAATATTAAGAAGGTGAATCAATGAGATTTAATCATAAAACAAGAAAGTTGTTCTCATGATTAATAATGTAACCCAAAATTAAGAAATACCTAACCAATTGTCACACAAAGCGTAGCGGTTGGTTGGCAATGGCCAATGCAAATGAAAAAAAATGGTCCAAATGAAAAGCCCCTTCGGCTTTAAATACAATGTAATGCAAAGGCAATAAATAAGGTAGTGGGCCTTAGTTTTCTCAAAAACGAAATAACTAAGCTCGTCATCTAAGGCATCAGCAATGCTGTCTTTTTGGGTTTCCATAAATATTGTCATTTATACAACTTTATATGTACGTACGTACTACGTAATATATACAGTATAATGGGATACGTATTATTATATATATATATATATATATATATAGACACATGAATTATTTATGAAATAAAATTTGAGTTTTGATAATAACTAATAATTTTTTATTTTTATATTTAAAGTTGCGGGAGATTGAGTAAAATTAAAAAATACAATTATATAAAAATATGAAAAAAAAATCTTCCTAAAATTAAGTTAAATATGGTAACCAATAATAAATTGATTTAATGTCTAAATCATTCTATCAGTATTTCATTTTTTGCTATATTGAGTTTCCCAAGTTACATTTTTATAGATTTTACTTTAAAAAAAAAAAAATTTCTTGTTTGCTTATTTTTGGCCTTTTATTAATTGAATCTTCGTACAAAGAAAGATCTTAAAGCTTGAAACATTGAAAAGACCGTTAGTTATGAGTTAAAATCAATCAGAATATAAAATTTTAATTATATATATAATTAATTAAAATGACAACGGGGTGGGTGAATTACGTTTGAATCACAGTCAAATGATATCTAATTGAAAAAAATTGAGATCGAATTTATTATGATTTTATAATAACTTTGTGCATTTGTTGCAAGTTTTCGATTCTTTTCTCTTAGTGCTTCTTTTAATGAAATGAAAACTATTTGTATATTTGTGCAAAATATTAAAATTATTATAATTATATCTTATCTTATATAAAAATTAAATATTATAATTTATGTCAATAAAAAAATATAAAATATATTTTCTTTAATTTTATTAAATTTATATATAATTTTACTAAAATTTTAAATTGTGTTTTTTTTTATTTTCTTATCTATTTTTACCGATATTTTAGATTGCAAGATCTCAACCAATCATTTTCAAGTAAAAAGTGGCAAAGGCTTTGACCAAATGGCTGCCGCGTGAAATTGCTAGATCCTTTTAAAAGCAGCTTAAGCATTCCTAGCAAAAATACTAAAACCCCACTGCAAATTAAACCTTCACTATCATCTGAAGTAAAAAAAAAAAAAAAGAAATCTTTAAACTTCTGATGGAACACATCACAGTTATGATCATTTCATCATCTTTTTTTTTTCACAGTTTGTCTGGCGAACTGATTGGTTAATAATGCTAGAAACTGGGCTAGTACTACAAGTAAACTCAACTTTGGCTACTGTACTTGGCTGGAAACTGGGCAGCTGCCTCTGATTTCAGGGGCTCAGAAAACCCAAAAGCTTTCTTTTTGTTTAATGGAGAGAGTTCGTTATATTGCATTTAGCACAGCCTTCTTTTCCATTTTTTTGTCTCTTCTTTTTTGGAAAGAAAACAGTAACCCATTGTTTGTTTCTGTGACCGCTGCTGGCCTTGATTATATTTCTGACATTTTAATTGAATGAGAAAGATCTTTGTTCTAGATTTGTATGTATCTTTTTCTTCGAAATGAGCTGCTTTTAAGGTCATCATCCACGGACTGTAATGGAAGATAACAAAGAGAAAGGGAGGAAAAGGAAGGAAAATAGTAGGTCATTAATAAGGATAACAAGACTACACCTGCTTTTTGGCCCGGTGATCAAGGATTGTTTTCAAGTACAGTTTTTAACGCTTTTGAAGGGTCCTTGAATTGATAATTTGATTCAAACTTGTAATGATGGATGTGGCCATGCAACAAAGTATACATGGATTTAACTTTAATGACGTCTCAGTTTCATCAACCTAAATACAAGTCTATTCAATATTTATCAGATAATAATGAAGTTATTTGACTTTTTTTTGTTTTTCTATATTTGTTTGTCTAAATTAATTATTCCAAGACCACTAGAATGCATAAAAAGAAGGATGATATGATCTGTTTTCAAGAACTCAAAAACAATTCTTCAACTTAAAAACCAGTAAATTACAGCCAAACTGATTTATGGCATCAATGTTTCTTGTTTCTTTGCATAGGCCTTTTTCTTTTGCCTGATACCAAAAGGAGTGACCTCTTTATCACAAAAATCAGAACCATGCCAAACATTCCGAGGCAGATACCTTCGGAAATAGAAATATCTTGAGCTGAGATGAGACTCTTCCAATGCCTCAACCTGTGCAAAGCCTGGTCGCCAATCATCATTTCCGGATAGCTTGAGATACAGATAGCAAACTGGTGATTCTACGCATTGGCCTCTCACTTGAAACTCATCCACCAAGCAAACCTGGAATGGTTTTCTGGGAATGTCATCAAGGACAACCGGCTGCAATGGATCCATCTCCCTAACATGCTTGGAATTTAGGTGTCGAACTACGATGTCATTAGATTTTGTATCACCAAATCTCAGGCTGACATGGTCTGATGTGTCGGCACCCTTGGTGCATGTTGTTTGGATTGTGACTCTGTAGGTGCAGTTTCTCTGCAAAGCATATTCACATGAGCCAAGTAATTCTTAGAAGATCAAATTTACATATTTCAGACAGCCTTTTTAGACCCAATTTAGTTTTGCAAAGTATCAGATAGACAGAGACAGACCTCATTAAACTACATAACTAGAGAACAATTATGCAAAGTTCATTACCTTCATGCTTTGAGGGAGGTTTTCACCTCCTGCAAGTAAAGCAAGTAAAAATATAAAACATGCAATGATAAATCCTTTGCGATTCTTTATTTCCATTGTTGTTTCTTCCTAGCTTAAAGACAAGACAAGACAAGACAAGACAAGACTTTCAGTTCTCATCTAGTGTTTCTTCAGATCTCCCGCTGTGCTCTTTTATAATCATGGGTTATTCATTCTTTTCTTGACAGACTTGAAAAGTTTATATTCCCTGCTTAGGATGCTCTAGGAAATGAACAGGCTTTCCCTCACTTTTACTTATACCTATTTGCTTTACCAAGGTAAAGCATATGCTTGGGTTCCCGCATTAACAAGTGGCTGAGGAGGAGTTTTTGGATTGAAGATTACAATTCTAAACGGATTTCTTGCAATAAGCTTGAGTCACAGTAGAGATTAAAGTGGATCCAAAACATACAATCCTAGAGGACCCATGTAATCCATAAGTACTTTCAGACATTATTCTCGTAAAATCCAACAAGATCACCCTCAATTGACATCTTTTTCAAGCAATAGTTCATTCACATGTGTCAATTGCCATGCAAACCAGTATGTAGATTTTCATGTGTCAAACAATAATCTATGTCTTTCAACTTTCCCTCTCCTTCTCTTACACTAATTTTGTGGTTATAAAGATTTTTTTTAGGATTTTTGGATATGACTGAGATTTGAATTCGAGACCTTCAATCATAAAGCCGATTAAAGTACTGCTGAACTAACGAGTTATTGGTGGTTATAATGATTATATTTCTGAAAACGAAATGTTGCTTTTTATTTGAGTAAAAAGGGGAAAAAATAACATGATTTAATTGAGTTAATTTGAAAGTGTAAACTACCTTAACGATAAATCTTTTAGCACCAAAAAACCAACAGTGTAATTCTATCAAATTAGGCTTATCTTTGCGTGGGATTATGGAGCTTAATAGAGAGAAAGAGCTGTATTATATTACATTAACCTACTAAGATAAAAGTTTCCTTTATAATTTGGACAGAGCAAAAATAGCAGGGGAAGGCTTGTTGACACATGTATTGGCCAGCCGCCAAGGTTTTGTATTTTGCAGATCCATTTAATGGTGGAAAGACATGTCTTGTCCAAGGTACTGACCCCAATTTCATTTGCATATGATTTAAAGTGGCCTTTACAGGCTCAAGTTTTTACCTGTTAGCTTTTATTTCAAAGCCATAAAATCTGAATTATATAAAATGATTTTTAATAACATTTTCCTTTCAATATGAGATGGGATATCACAGATTACAACATACAATCAAAGTTGACAGGCATTTATAGGTTAAAATGACTTTCATTTGTTTGAAACTGGTGAGGGAAGTGGTTGGTACAACAACAATGCACATAGTCCTGCCAATGAAAAGATTGACATCCCCATTTCCTGCATTCTAATCAAGCTATCTTGGGTTCATATCCCTTTAGACATAAGCTTTTGTTGTTAGTTTGTTTGCCTGAGCCGAAATTGCGTCAATTGAGGTTACCCAACTATTCATCCATGACCAGTTCCTCATGAAAATGGAAAACAAATGACAGAACCATACATCTGACTCTAAATTGACTGTTTTGATAGTAACCTCAGGATTTTGCTTTATAAACAAACATAGTATCCAAAATCCCATACATTTCAAGAACATTGACAGTTAATTGTTTAATTTAGACCCATTAAAAACCTGCTGAATTTGAAACTATGGGTTGAAAACAAACTTTGCAGGTATTATTAATCTGAATTCATATTTATTTTGATATTGAAAAGTTGGTTTTTATAAGCAATTTTCACCAATTGGTAACTGTTGTTGGCATCGGCACATGAAAAATTTTGAAAAGAGTTAATGCTGCCAATGACCTCTAAATTATAATGAAATGTTCAATGTGAAACCTCAATTTTGAATATTTTAATTAATATGATATTTGAAAGATTGTTTATCCATCGCGTGTTATCATTTTAAGTTAATCATGTTAAAAATAAGCACCACACTAATTTATAAATTTATAATTAAAGTATCATATTAAAAAATTTTAAAGTTTAGATATTACATTAAATATTTTACTATAATTCAAGAATTCTAATATTAAGCCTTTTGAAAATCAATGATGACATTTAATAAGCATACTTTGATTTACCTACCAGGCTATTAAACCAAATAAGCAGCAGAGTTTCTTCTTCTTGGGTTCTAAATTAACATAGAAAAGTAACTTCCACAAACAGCAAGAAAAGCAGGGGAATAACTGTAAATCACGTCAACTCGCATATGGAAATAGAGGATTTTTACGTTTCGGAAAGATAGACAAAGTTTGACTTGAACAGAAAGGAGGTCAAGTAAATTGATTATCTTTGACAGCACTCTAAAGTTGTTCTAACAACTGGTCATTTCAATGTAGCTATTGAAGCAGCATTCAAAATTTTTTTTTCTTTCTTTTTGTTTCACTCTAATCTTCAAAGTTCAAACTGGTTAAACTATATTTTTTAACCAACCAAACTCTTTTCTCTTAGCACTATATATATGCTATCCCACCGGCTTTGATGAATACCTACTCAAACAGCAATTACAGGTTTATCATTAGGGGTTCCCAGTTTTGTCCTATGGGTTAAAATAATAACATAGAAAGAAGAAATAGAGAAATGGGTGCTTATCTTCGTCCATCAACAGCACTTTTGGGGGCATTTCTGTTGCCATTTATGATCTTTTGTCTCTATATTGAGCCTGTACTTGGAGTCACCAGGCACTACAAGTTTGATGTATGAGTCAATATGACGATGCTCATAAATTTGGGCAATTTATTGTCCACTGACTTTATATTTTATATGATATACACATTAACTCTGTTAAGTTATGATTTGCTAGATCAAGCTGCAGAATGTTTCCCGTCTGTGCCACACGAAGAGCATTGTGTCAGTAAACGGACAGTTTCCGGGGCCTCGCATTGCAGCAAGGGAGGGTGATCAGCTTCTGATAAAAGTTGTGAACCATGTGCCAAACAGTATCTCTATTCATTGGTATGAAACCTTTAGTAGAAATACCCCACGGTTACTTAAAAATTAAATGCCATGATCCGAATCACTGCATGTTTTGGTTTCTTTGATGTTATAGGCATGGCATTCGACAATTTCGTTCCGGATGGGCTGATGGACGGGCATATGTGACTCAGTGTCCTATACAAACTGGCCAGAGCTATGTGTATAACTTCACCATTGTAGGCCAAAGGGGCACTCTCTTTTGGCATGCTCATATATCATGGTTGAGAGCAACTGTATATGGTCCACTGATCATTCTTCCTAAGCTTGGGGTGACCTACCCTTTTGCCAAGCCCTACAAGGAAGTTCCCATCATCTTTGGTAAATAACAATGAATCAGCTGACTGAAAAATCTACATCTCTATCAAGTTCTAAATTAAATTCCGTGAATCCATTGGCAAACATAAGACGTGATACATTAAATTGCAGGGGAGTGGTTCAATACCGATCCTGAGGCCATTATTGGCCAGGCCCTCCAGACAGCTGGAGGCCCAAATGTGTCTGATGCTTTCACCATAAATGGACTTCCAGGACCGTTGTATAACTGCTCTGCCAAAGGTATTGAAATGCTATAATGTGATGTCGTCACCATGGATTACATATATCCTGTAGATAATTAATTCAATGCTGAACTACTGGCTTTTAACAGATACGTTCAAGTTGAAGGTAAAGCCTGGCAAGACATACCTTCTGCGACTAATCAATGCAGCTCTCAACGATGAGCTCTTCTTCAGCATAGCTAACCATACCCTTGCGGTGGTTGAAGCTGATGCTGTTTATGTCAAACCTTTTGACACCGAAACAATCCTCATCGCCCCTGGCCAAACCACAAATGTGCTTCTTAAGACCAAACCAAGATATCCAAATGCCTCATTTTTCATGACTGCTAGACCATACGTGACAGGGCAAGGCACCTTTGATAATTCAACAGTTGCTGGCATTTTGGAATATGAATTACCACCCAATGGCTCACATTCAAGCATCTCAATGAAGAAACTCTCTCTTTAAACCAATTTTACCTGCTCTAAATGACACTTCCTTTGCTACAAATTTCGCAAGTAAACTCCGCAGTTTAGCTAGTGCACAGTTCCCTGCCAATGTACCCCAAGAGGTTGATAAGAAGTTTTTCTTTACAGTTGGTCTTGGAACTAGCCCATGTCATCAGAACCAAACCTGCCAGGGACCTAATGGAACCATGTTTGCAGCTTCAGTCAATAATGTTTCTTTTGCAATGCCAACTACAGCAATGCTCCAAGCCCATTTCTTTGGCCAATCAAACAATGTTTACACAACTGATTTTCCCAATGATCCAATAATTCCATTTAATTACACAGGCACTCCACCTAATAACACTATGGTGAGCAATGGAACGAAACTAGTAGTGCTTCCTTTTAACACTAGCGTAGAGCTAATCATGCAAGACACAAGCATACTTGGAGCTGAAAGCCACCCTCTTCACTTGCATGGCTTCAATTTCTTTGTTGTTGGCAAAGGTTTTGGGAATTTTGATCCAAAAAAGGACCCTAAAAACTTCAACCTCGTTGACCCTATTGAAAGGAACACTGTTGGTGTGCCATCAGGAGGTTGGGTTGGCAATTCGTTTTCTGGCAGACAATCCAGGTAAGTAAGACTGCATTAAACAAAACAAAATTTGACAATTATATAATACTGCATTTTACTCGCTTGCTTGCTTTGAGTAGTTGATGACCATGACAAAAATAACCATATGATTCAGGGGTATGGTTCATGCATTGCCACCTGGAGGTGCACACAAGCTGGGGTTTGAAGATGGCTTGGATTGTCTTGGATGGAAAGCTGCCTAACCAAAAGCTGCTTCCTCCACAGCAGATCTTCCAAAGTGTTGATAATTTGACTCACTACTACTCCTTAGTTCACACCAACCAGAAGAAATCTCCTGATTATTTTTTTTAATTTCTCAATCTCATTTTCATTTTTTTGGCCATTCTATGTGAATTTGACACAAACCAATATCCATTCAATAATTATTTCATTAATCCATGTGATAATAAGAAAAAGATTTTAGGGTTTTTTTTTTTTTTTCCTTTTTGCAAGATTGAGGTCTGGATATGTCAATGTAAGAACTCCCAAAAAAGTTTTACAAGATTATGAAATTTCTGTTCCTCTTTCATTTCCAAGTTATTACTTTCAATTAATACAACAGAAAGGGTCCAATAGGACCACTCCCATGCAGTACGGACAGGCTTGTTACAGCAGGTTTGGGCAGCTGTTGGCCCATTTCCCGTGGTTGGCTTTTTGGATCTGTCATTTCCAAACCAAATTGGGCTTGAATTTTATTTTATTTTAAATTTTTAATAATGTTACACAAATATCATAAACTACTAGTATTATTTTTCATAAATGATAGTAGTAATAAAAATTGAGACTTATATCAAAGTCCTTGCCTTTTTGCTTCATAATCCCACCACAAATCATATTCTTGGTCAGTCTATCAAACTTAAAGTTTTCAATGAAATGGTCTAAAGATAAGCAACAAGTATGGATGACAAAATACAAAAGAAATGTCACTGTTGGCTTGAACTCTTTTATGGCATACGTCTCAGGTTGGATAACTGCAGACGGTTATTTGCAACTGGGAACCATCATGCACGTCAGCATACTGTCTGATGAAAGCTCTTCTCCACCGAACTTTGAATGCTCTTCGAATGTTGGGACAGTCATCCCCTTTGTTGAGAAATCGATCAAACCAATTGACCAAAATAACCTGTTGTTGCAGCAAAGAAAGGGTAAGAATTGTCTGGCTGAGTCCATCCTCCATTTGTTTCTTATCTACAGATCTAGAAGCCCTTGTCATCCATCCAAAATCTTCATAAAGAGCTTCCAACCATGTCGACAGCAGAGAGAACCGGCTGTCTTTTGGCACCAAGATATTTCCTCTACCAATTGCAATACATAGCTGAGCAGTGATTCTGCTGATTTCATGGCGGTACATGGTGGGAATCTTTGAGTGAAGTTCTGCAAGTTCCCTCTGATCTGCCCACAATTTCACGAAGTCATTTGCCATTCTTTTGTCAATCAGAATATCAACAATCCACTGCAAATTGTCAGCTTCTCGAGCTATTTCAGCCATTAAAGCTCCTCGATCTTGCCTGCTACTGTCCATGCCTGCAGCTTCGGATAAGCAGAGAACAAGAGAACTAAGACATCTGTGACAGAGATGATTAAGGGTATTTTTAGAGACATCGAGCAGACGGTCATCATCAAATGAATCTTCTCTAAGTAACCGTGAAATAAGAGTTTTCATTTCTCGTTGTGCTTTATCGTCTTTGGCTTGAAGAACACCACTAAGTAGCTTCAAGAATGTGTCATCTGCTCTTGTGGAAGTAGATGGCTCAGATGATACTCTCCGAAGAACTTCAGTCATTGAGCCATGAAGCTCAAGTTGGCTGAGATGAGATAGGATCTTTTCCTTGTCATCCTCAGACCAGGGAACAGCTTCCAAATACTCCAAGCAAGAGCTAATTCCTGCATCAAAAATAATGGCTGCAGAAACCTACAACAAACATTAATATTACAAATGCTTCACTACAGCAGAAATAAGAAAAGCTAAAATGAAAATTTTTGTGTTGCACATAAATGGTGATATAAGCAATGTAGATATAGCCAAAGCAAAGATTCTTTTGCAGGCAATATTTGATTAATCAAAGAAAATTCTCTGGAATGTGGATTAAATTATAAGGATGGAAAGCTTTTGAGTTATAATGCAAAATGAATTGGAGAATGTAAACTCAAATTTAATTTACTTTAAACCTTCTTTTACCAGCTTTCCAAGAAAAAACAAACAAAAATATTTGATGTCAATTAGCATGCTTCTAGAGGAGGAGAAAAAGATGTTTGTTGCAAACAAGGCAAAAGTACAAGCTCCATTTGAGTAAATTTCTGACAGACGAATAACAAAATTTAACATCTAAACATGCCTTAATCATAGTTAAGTTGTGATCAGGAACATGACAAACAATGAAACAGACGTCCATTTCAAAGGTATCAGTGATAAAATCTTTCCAGCATCAAACACAACGAAAACGCATTGCATTTGACCTTGGTGAAAACAACTCATCCACCATAGATTCATTAAAACTTAAGCGGAATGCAAAAGCTCAACGAAATTTGAATGAACTAAATCAAACAAAACCGATTTACAAACGTTTGGTTAAATCAAACGGCCAACAAATAATATGGTAAACATTTGATCTTCACCATAAATCCTTCCTGTTAACATTTATAGAGATTCTCAAGTATGATTCTTTTAACAAACACACAAAAACAAACCAAACAACCTCAAATTAACCAAACTTTCTAATTAGCAAAACCAAACATGAACTAAAAACTTGTAATGAAAGAAAAATTAACTAAATTTAAAAGAATTATACCTTAAGCAAATTCAAGACTTTGTTGACATTTTCACCAATCAACCTCCTTTTCAGATCATTACAGTACATTAAAACCACAGTTTCCACATAAACCTCCACGTCATCACATTCACAGATTTCCACTGTATGAGAAACCCCTTTCTCTCTTCTTTGACTCAACTTCTCAGCAAAAAACCTACTTTTCTCAGACAAAACTCTTCTGTGCACATACATTGACACTGTATAGCCATCTCTAGAGACTACCGTGAGCCTTACATCACCTGATCCCAGCCCGAAGTTGCTAAAGCTACAGATTTTTAGTTCAGTGAGGAATTTACCAACTCGGTTTTGAGTCTTTTTGCGAGACTTTTCGATGGTTTGGGAATCACGGTGGTGTTCCTCTGACACCATTGCAAAGAGGGAGGTGTTGTGACTCGGGCAAGCTGACTCAGTTGGAGGAGGGGAGGAGGAGGAGGAGAGGAAGGTGAATAGAATCGTGAGAGTGTTGGGTCTGAAATAAAGCCTTGTTTCATCATTGTTGATACTTCCCCTGAAGCCATTGAAAAAAAAAAAAACTTTTCCAATAAAGATATCAACAAACAAATACTGGGTCTAGCCCAGATTCAAGAAAAATGACAACATGCCATTGATTAAAAAAAGAAGCTTTTTTTAAAAGAATATCAAAACGCAAAAACTGGGTTTTCTTAGAATCAAGAAAATAAAACTGATTCTTGGCAAGAAAGCAATCCTTGGAATGAAGATGAATTTTCTTGCAAATTCCTGGGAAATTCGAGGGACAAAGAATCCAAGAAGTGGAAAGCTTTGGCTCTGTAGTTTCAAGAGAGAGTGCACTGTTAAGCAAAGGCAAAAGCGTGTGTTAAGGGGAAATGCTGATGCTAATTATGGTCTTTTGCATAAAACCTCGAAAAGAAAGTTTCTATTTATAAGAAAATTGGAGGGAGTGAGAGATTACTATCTGCACGTGTGAGCACGTGAGTTATGAAATAAAACGAGCCAAAGCACTTGCAGACCTGCTTGATTCTGCCAAAGATGATTCTGCAAGTTCGATGCAGCAATCCATCTGCTATGATTCAACAAGATACTGGTCAATCTCAGTCTCTTGGGGATTTGTCGTTCAAATCTTGAGGGGAGTGATGTCTCCCAGAGAGCTTGAAATACGAGTTAATTTTATATTGACATTTGAATTTTAAAAATTTGAATTTTTAATTATTTAAATATATATTAATGTATTTTTTTTTGTTGAATTATAAATCTTAAGTGACGTAACATATAATTTGAATAAATTGAATTATAAGAAATTTTTTAAATATCAACTAAGCAAATAAAAAAATTAAATTATTCACTTAAAAAATTTAATTATCTAAAAAAATGAAACTTATGACATATCATCAATATTTCATAAATTTGTGAGTTCTTGTCGATGTTTCATGTTAAAAAAAAAAAAGGTATAAATTAAAAGAAAAGAATTACGGGTTGTAATATGAAAAATATAAATTTATAAAAAAATTTATTTTCTTAAATTCATTTTCAATATTTAAGATGAGATGATCTAGAATTACGGAAAATAATTTATTTTCTTAAATCCAATTTTAATTCTCTAAAAATTCTCGATCTAAATTCAACCATGAAAAAATAAAAAATGACCCTGTTGAAGTAAGAGAAAAGCTCATGGTTTCTCCAACAAACCAAAACGAAAATCCTTATTCAAAATCAATCCATTTTCTCAAACTCATTTTCCGTCCCTTGAAAACTCACTTCCCAAGCTTCTTTCCCAATGTCTTTTCTCTCTGGATCAACCTCTTTTGAACACAAAAATCTGTCTTTGAGTATCGGTTTTCATGAGCGGAGATGCAGAGCAAAGAATTGATCCGCATGGATCGAGTAGATGGCCGATTAAACTGCTTACACTGCTTAATTGATACAAAGACCTGATTACACTGCTTATGCATCTAACACTAGGCCTGTTGAAAGGCACCCTTGCCAAAAGCCCTTCGTCATCTGTATGGATAAGGTTTGGTACGATCGTGCTTGGAAATAAACAATCGAGATTAGTGAATTACAGCCGAAAAAGGGTTCTTCATAGGACATTTTTTAATGATTTTATATTCCTTTTTTTACCATGGTCCGAGCATTCACCACACGGGAGTATGATAATGCTATGGGCGTCCAGAAAATCAGAGGTCAGATGTAAAGTTTAATACCCGAAATACTCTAATAGGCTCAGGAAAGCAAACTTTGATCAACATTACTGATCATGAAATGAGCCATACATGATTCATGCTTTTCTCTTGATGATTATATATTCCTTACCAACTCTTTGGCTTATTGATGATAGAGCTAAAGGAAAATGATCAGAACAAGGCCTTCAAATGTTCTAACTCTAATTCCGTAATGGAGCACTTCAGACTCTAAACACAACGCTGGTAGTTACCGACCAAAACAAACTACTATATATGTTTCAATCAATTGCATTAGTATATCACCGTTTGATTCAAACAAACTACTAAATTGTAGATCAAGTTTTCTTTAACTTGAGTCCAGCTAAGATATGGAGTTTGAAATGGAGGGAATAACTTAAATGGATGAACATCGTTTGATTCAGCTGCTAATTTTATGATTTGATGAACTCGTTCCTCAGAATAAAGTTCACAGCGTCTTCCACATTGTCAACAACCTGCAACAGCAACAACAAAGGGTTTTAGGATGCGCAAATCTTCAAGATATGTTACACCACATTCCCAATTCAAAAAACAACTTTTCAAGTTGGTTTGGTAAAGACACAGTATTCAAGTGCCTACCAAATTGGCTGGAAACTCAGCATGATTAGAATGACGATCTCCCTTGAAAACACCAGTCCTTGTCAAAATGGGAAACCATGGATTTCCGGCCTGAAATATAAAACACAATTATTTCTCACCATTGGTAACGCTAAACAATAGAGATAAAAATATGAAGTTAAAAGCCGTCCAAGAGAGACAAACCTGCCGTGCACCTTTGATGTCGACTAAAGGATTATCTCCTATCATATATAGTGTTTGCAAGTCATGACTTCCAGAATTTGCACTGTCCACGACGTTAAAGTCATGATAAAGGGACGAGGCTAGTTGCTTTAGCACAACTTCAGCATTCTTGAATGCAACTGGATTCGGCTTTCCTAAGGATGTATACTTCAGAGCTTCAGTATGAATGCTGCATGTTTAATTTATTGAAATTAACAAAAGCTATCTCTGGAACATAAGCTGCTCCCAAAGACTAATGAGTAATGACAGAGTGATATAGTGGTGCTTGAACTACAGGAATGCAATGAGGGGTCTAAAAATAGGCCATGCGAAAAAATCATTTTAAGAAAAATTCAAAAGGAAAGCATAGTAATCATCTAACAGTAACCTTGGCGTATAATCGTCTGTTTATATACATTCCGCCCTTACCTATTGAAGATGGATTCCAGTGCAATTCTGAATGCGCCCATGCCAAAACGTTCAGAAGGAAAAGCACCCTACCTTTAATAGCATATTATCAGTGGATTACTACTTGTAGAGAAAAGGCTCCATAAAAGCTCAAGAAAAGCAACCGACTTTTAGAGCATACATCATAACTAACCTGGTATTTAAGGTCATCATGAGCAAAATACAAAGGGGGTTGACGTCCTTTCACTTCCAGGAAGACCTCCGGTTCTTAAAATATCACAAAGAACCTAACATTAAAAAGATTCCAATGCTATAATTAGTCAATCCAAATAAAACATCAATTAACAAGTCGTCTCACTGAATGAGCATGAAAGTATTTGATATGATTAAATTGGTAAAGGCAACCTGAATGTCCCTGCTCCAGTCATTAGAATCACTAACAACAAATGCTGCCTGAACTCTCTCAGAATTAATGCTGAATTTTCTAGTACAGTTGACAGCAGCCTCCATGGTGCTCCACTTCTTGTATGGTGCCAAAGGGTCAATGTTGTCAAAGCACAGTGCATACTCATCTATTGGAATCACATTTCTGCATATAGAATCGAAGGACACAAGCCATTCAGAATTTCTATCCAAACCTTATCAGCATTTTCTAGAGTTGCAATTAACATTAGCACTAAAAAATCAGGAAGCACACTCAAAAGCTTACTTAAATCCATATTCAGACATCACTGCAGCAGGTTCACCTTTTCCCACAGCAACAATTAGTTCATTTTCAAACCTGCATGGCAATGACAATGAGAAACAGTGAGACAAACAGGTTCCATAATTGAAAAACAAGATGCTTGACCTATATTTGGACCTTTTCTTTCCTTAAATAAATTTTCCCCAAGTTAACAATTATCTCCATGAAAAGTACACACAGTTGTCCTTTAAGCTTTTCAACAAATACATGCAGTGTCATATTTGCTATAGTATTTTGGAAGAAATTAAGAGCCCATGTAAATAATAAATCGTACCTGTTCACCAACTGTTTAAAAGGTGAATGGCCCTGCAAGACCTAGAATGATTTAAAAAGGATTTTATCAGCCGTTACTACCATCATCCACAAAGCTTTCTTTAAGTAAAATGTAATGGATTTGAATAAATTTACCAAAAAAAAAAAAAGGGAAGAATATGAACAATTTCAAAGGAGGTACCTGTGAAGGAGAAATCTTTACACCTAGGAGTTCTGACAACTCCGCAGCTCTTTTTGATTCACGAAAACCACCCCCTGTAAAAAAAGGGAAGTTGGAACCAACAATGATTAATTGAATACGCTGCATCATTCATTCCTTTGAAAACCGAAAATCATATCTAAAACCAATGATCATATTGTGCCTAAAGGCTACCTATTTAACCACCAAAATGACACATGGAAAAAATCTTTCAATCTTTATCTTTCACTTAAGTGCTTGGTCAGCAGGTAGCATCATTAGCTTAAAATACGACAACCAAGAAGGAACAAAGAAGAAACTATGATCAAGAAATGAGCTTTAAGGACATGGAAACTAACACAGGTCTCACTCACCATTAGTCAAGAACACAAAAGGAATCTTCAGAACACCTGCCCGACACAGTGAACTAATCAGAGTCTAATCTAATGTTCTAGAACAGACAAGAATTAATAACCAAACACAGAAAATTAATTCAAAAATAAAACAGAATTCGTAAGTAGTTAGTTACCAAACACTAAAACTTAACAAATAAGGTTAACATTTTTAATTCAAAAAATTCGCCATTAATCTATAACATACATATGCATAGATACACATATGTATGCAAATACATATATATAAGTACAAATTACAAGATGTCAATGGATAAGATATGGGGCCATATAGCATTCTTCATCCCATCCCTTGATTTTTATATTATACCCATCCCTGTATCCAATACCGAACTGGTTATTTCAAATCTATCTCTATAGATAATCCCCGTACTTGTAGCTCTTTTCAAAAAATAAAAACCAAAATTTATTTTTTTAGCTTTTTTTTTTTTATCTTGTATATTTACGTAATATTTTTATAAATATACATGAATATATTTTTTAAATAAAAATATATTAATTTTAATTAATCTAAAATAATAATTTATATTATTTAATTAAAAATTTATTTAGTAAATATATATATGCAAAGTATGGGTATGGATATCAAATGGTGCTATATTATCCATCCCTATTATTACCGTACAATATAAAAAATTTAAAATTACACCTATCCTTATCTCCTTGGTAATGTAATATACATTGTCATTCAAGTAAAATATAGGGTTTCAAATGAGTAAAATTGACATTCTGATAGGAATACATACCTGAATCGTCGTATAACCTCCTGAGAGCATGAGGAGCGCCACCGATAGGAGTGTTGCCGCGTAACACGACGCCGTCTATATCGAACGCAATGCCAAAAGAAGGCCAGCTAATTTCACCCCAAAAAAAAAAAATTAATGGATCAAAATAGAAAGTGTTATCAGCAAATTTAAAAAGCAAAAAATGATAATGGAAAACGCACCGCTTGGATTCTTGCGAAGAGAGTTGAGAGATTGTTGAGAAAAGCCGCGATAATTGCTTTCTCGATCGAGTCTGCGAAGATTTTCTTAACATTTGAAGATGAATCATCTTCCTTTCTCTTTTTTCTTTAATTTAGGAACGCGCCGTTGAAAATTTTGGCGGCTCAATGCTCGGCCGTTCCACCGAGAACAGCCAAACTGTGAAATCAGTGAGACAGAAAGGCATTTCCTTTTATGATGGAGCTACAACATTTCTTTCCAATCAGATCGCGCCACGTTGGCAACCTTTTAGAAAATTAAAATCATTTTTTAGTAATATTGAATTTTAATATACCCGCAAAATAGTAATATTAAAATTTTAATATTTTAAAAACTTGATTTTAATCCCATCTTTTCTTCATTTTCATTTTTTTAATTTTTTATTAAATAAATTTTATAAAAAATAAATAATAATAAAAATAATAAAATAAATCATATTCAATTAATTGTAATTCATATCGCTTTATTATAAGTGTTTTTTTTTTTTAAACAATCGTGCTCGAATCAATTTTTTTTTTGCATGGAATTGATTGAAGACTGATTTAAAGTGTTATGTCTCGTGACACTTCCCTTCTTTTTTTATTTTTTAATAGCTTTTTCTTTTTTTTTTTGGATTTCCATTTTTTTAGTTATTTTACTTTTTTTATTAGATAAATTTGTAATAAAAAATTAAATAAGATAGACATAACAAAATAATTCATATATAATAAATTTCAATTCGTTCAAATACAATTAGTTCATTTTTTTTTAGTTTAGAAAAATTAGGTTGAATTTTTTAAAATTGAGCTAAGTTAAAAATAAGATTTTGGATATTATGCCTTAATTTATTTATATATATTATTTATTTAATTCTATATTATATATATTTTATTAGAAGATTATTTAAAATAAATTCAAGTGTGATTTTTTGTTTTTTTATTTTTAAAAATTTTATTTATTAAATAAATTTTATAAAAAAAATTTTATGAATATAAAAATAACAAAATAACTTATATTTGATGATTTTTAATTTGTTACGGTCAATTGATAGATTTCTTAAATAAGAATTAGATTAAATTTTACTTATTTGAATAATTTAAGCATTGGGTTTGAAATGCTTTGCCTCGATTTTCCTCATAATATATAAAAATATATATATTATTATTTATTTAATATATATTTATATATATGTATTATATTAATAAAAATATTATTTAATATTTTAATTTAATAAAAAATATACATTTATACATAATTAAATAATAATTAATATTAAAAAATAAATACATTTATATTTGTTTATATGTCATCATTCATTAAAACTTTATATAAAAATTTTATTTTTTCATATTTAAAACATAATTTAAAAAATAAAAAATAATAGAAACGCAAGTCTAATTTTAATTAATATAAATTTCAGTATTATTCTTTATTTAAAAAAGTTACAAGTTGGGAACAAATGAAAATGTTTATATGACATAAACTACAACATGGACATTATATCAACACTATAAAATTATTTTAAGGAAAAACCAAAATAAAACCATTTTAAAAGATCAAAGATCTAAATGAAACAATTTAAAAATTGCAGGCTAAAGTAGAATCCAAAAAAAAAAAAAAAAAAACTTCAATAGCATGAATGAAATATATCCATAAAATTTCAGAAAATCAAAGTCAAGCTAAGGCACAAACACTCACTCCAAATCCCATGAACATGAAAACAGAGTCAAAATAATGATGCCACTCCTATTTTTGTTGTTTCTCTTGGGAAAAAAAAAAACTAATGTAAAAAGTATACAGACAGACATACATATATACATACATACATACGTACATACACAATATGAGGCTAAGAAGCTATAGCCTTCCTTTATGGAATATGAAGTACATATTTCACCCCTTCAATGGTGATAGGACTCCCAAATATAAAACATGAATCCAATAACTCCCAAATAAACCCAAGAAACCAAAACCCATTCCACAATCTCAAATCTCAATGTCTCCGTGGAGAAGAGAACCCATATCCTACTACCCTAGTTGTCTTGTATTTATACCTATGCACGCGTTTTTACCAAAATCAACCTTTCAACCAGGAGTTTAATGGAGCAAAACAACATAAACAAAATTAGGACACTTGATACTGACTTGAGTGACTTCATTCGAGCATCTTATCTTGATTGAACTTCAAAGACTCCCTCCATATGAGCTCTTTGATATCTTCTTCGGTCAAGGTTGTCTGCTCGAAATCAAAGATGAAAGGAGATAGGCAAGTGGGTTCCTCATTTATCTCATGAAGACTTGATAAAAATGGGTGATTCAGTGCTTCCTCAACTATACATGCATCATATGGAAGTGATGTTTCTTATAAGAAAATGAATGAAGGAACCAAAAAAAATGGTAACATTGTTAAAGCGGCATATTGTAAGGCATACCAGTGATGCGCTTGCTTGGATCAAAAACCAGCATTTTTTCTGCAAGATCAATTGCCACAGGAGAGACATCTGGGAACTTTTCCGCAAACGATTGCTTTGGGAAACGAGGAAGCTGCTTAACATACTTTCGAGAATTGTCACTCCTAAGGAAACCAAGATCTGAATCTTCCGGTGATCCTAGTAGCTGTTTTATAAAATAATAAAAAATATTTAAATATGCAAGTCTTATCATCATGTATTCAATGTCCACTAAAGTTTAGCAACCTGTTTCATGCTTCCCTTCTAACAGTGCCTAAAAACGGCGGTAATACTACATTCAGTGCTCTTCTATGAAACTGAAGAATTGGATCTGGGGGTGAACAAATAAAAAAGGATGGATACCTGAGTAATAATCCCCAACTGCTGAACATAGTCTTTACCAGGAAAAAGAGGCTCCCTTCTAATTATTTCCATTAAAATACAACCAACTGACCAGATATCAATTGCTGCAGTATACTCTGAACAGTTGAGGAGCAACTCGGGGGCTCGATACCATCTGGTTACAACATACTCAGTCATGAAGTCTGTCTCTGAGGTGGTTCTTGCAAGACCAAAGTCACAAATTTTCAGATCACAGTTTGCATTGAGAAGCAGGTTGCTAGGTTTAAGGTCTCGGTGCAAAACATTTGCCGAGTGTATGTACTTCAGGCCCCGTAACAGTTGATATAGGAAATACTACAAAAACCACAACATAGCTTCAACAATTATGAAATCATATAGCCTGGTTTCAAGTTTTAACTTGTACAATTGAACAATGACACAACACACTTATTACAATTGAACAATGACACAACACACTTATTACAATTGAACATGACACATTACATGGACCAAGATAGACTAGGAATGACACAGGTAACATCATGAACTACTACCTTTGTTTTAGGGAAATAATAAGAATGATAGATATCCCACCTGACAGTGATCATCAGTAAGAGGCTGGCTAGACTGTATTATTTGATTTAGATCAGTGTCCATTAGCTCATATGCAATGTAAACATCATTGAACTTTTCCCTCTCTGGTGGCAGTATAATGTCCTTGATTTTGACAATCTGCAAAATATTAATGCAAGACCTCATCTCTCCTTCATAATATAACATGAAAAGAATAAATGAAAAAGTGAAAACCACATTAATACAAATTACAAGCAAACAAAGTATAGAATCTAGTGAGTACATTATCATGATCCATGTGACAAAGGAGCTTGATCTCTCGGAGTGTTCTTTTAGCATCAATCCTGTTGTCAAATGCATTCCCAATCTTTTTTATTGCAACCTCTTCCTTTGTCTCAGAATTTGTAGCACAGCTGCAATAAGGAAAGCGTCACTTCTCACAATCACAAAATTCAAATTCATTGACCCCAAAATTAGCTCTTTGAAACATCAAAACAAACCCAAAGCTCACATTTCTGAAATTTCTCTAAAAGGGTTAGTAAAAATTTCCTTTTTCTACACTTTAAGTAGCTCTGCCTAATCACTAAAATCCCAAAAACTCAACCAATTCAATGAATCTACAGCTTTAAACTCTCAAGTAACAAAAACCCAAAAATGAAAAAAGCAAACTTTTGTTTCCAAAACAGAAGAAAATTACCAAACGATGCCATAAGCGCCACGACCAACAGGCTGAATAGGAGGAACATACTTGGAAGAAACTTCAAAGATGTTACCCAAGATGTTGTAATGGACATATCTGCCATCATATGTCGGGATTCCTCTGAGATCAATCGCCATTGCTTCAGTCTCCGTCTTCTTTCGTCAGAAACAGGATGGAAAAAAAAACAGTACAAAAAAGAAAGAAATAAAAAGCGCGTGTAACGCGTGTTTTTATGGGAGAAGAAAAGCAATGGAAAGCGACAAGCGGCAATTTGGGGTTTGCCTTTGTGGTTTTCTTTTGTGGGTTTTGAAATTAGAACGTGGACAAAGACCAAAAAGAAGTGAATGGACTGTTGACCTATAGATTGGTTGGACTTCGTTTGGTTGCCAGGAAAATATCTTAGAAATATAGGTCTTACAAGAAGTCAAGCGTCAAAGTGAAAACAAACTAAACGCTCAAACAAATAAAGAATCTATGACCATAAAATCATGTTACCAGCCGTTGAATCAACTGTTTGAAAGCCAATACTCGGTGCACAAAGCAGACAGTTGAGCCTAAAATTTGTCAATGTTCTGGAAAGAAAAAAAATAATAAAAACCTGCTTGGATTCAAAGCCCTTCTTCTCTAACGTCGACCGGGCCATCATTTATCAGCAAAGCTTGAATCCAGTTGTGTCTTGCGGGCCTCATTTCTCAGCTAATCCACTTAATAAGGTCTGCTTTTGGTTCTTTGTGGGTCTGCTTCACCGTGTATTTGAGTCAATAATTAAGACATATTTTATGTACTATTAATATTTTTTTTAATAAGTGATTGGTTCAATCGATTAGTTTTGTTTTCATTGATGAAAAAGTATTGGATTCGAGTTTTATCGGTGATCACTTGTTGGAATCATCTCGACTGCACGACTTGCGGCTATTTATTTTAGGCTGTCAAGTACGAGACATCTTACTTTGATTTGAAGGACTGAACAGCCTATCTACCTCAAATTTTTTATACCAAAAAATAATAATAATAATATTTACAAATCATCTATTACATTTAATAATATATATAACCGATTATTTTTTAGATCAATTGTTACTTATTAGAATCGACATTTGATAATTATGAGTTTAAGAGAGTTTATTCGCATAATATTTTTTTCAACTTAAAAAAATTTAAAGATAGATTAAAAATTTTAAAAAATATGTATATACTGGTAGTAGTTTAGAATGTGGTGCATCCCACATTTGATAGAAAGATTTAATTATTGATAAATAAAATTAATTTTTGTATTAATTTTATTCATATTTTAAATAATTATGATTGAACAGAAATAATTATCATCTGACAAATGATCATAACTATTTAAAATATGAATAGATTGTTATTCATAAAGGTCATGATTATATAGAAGGTCATAACTATCTGAATAAAAGTTTATATCTATTCATTCATTATAAATAAATCTTTCAGTATAACCATTTTTACTACTTTTGATTTATAGAGTTTTAAGGCTTTGTTATATCTTATAAACATAATTATCTTTAAGACAATATTCTTCACGCCTCAAAGCCACATTTTTTTTTTCTTACTATTTCTGTTTTTCTTAAATCTACTAATAATTTAAAGGTAATTATGGATACTACATCTACTATTATCCCTACTACTGCTATGGATTTGGAATCAAGCATAATGGTTTATTTTCAAAATCAAGATGTAATCAGACTTGATCATTTTAATGGATCAAACTACACTAGGTGGAAGAACAAAATAGTTTTTCTATTAACAGCATTGACGATGTTTTATGTACTTAATCTAAATTTGGAACCAATTCCAAAACCAACTCCTGAATATTCTGATATTGTTAAGGCAACAAGAAGCAAACGTGAAGAAGATGAACTAGTTTGTCGATGTTATATTCTGAATTCATTATCTGACCGTCTATATGACCTATACAGAAATATGAAAACATCAAAAGAGATATGGACTGCTCTTGAGCACAAATACATAAACGAAAAGAAAGGTAAGGATAAGTTTTTGACTTTGAAATACTTTAAATTTTTAATAACTGATGATAAACCAATCATGGACCAAGTGTACGAGTTGTAAATTCGGGTATCTAAGTTAAGTGAGCTGGAAATTAAGGTTTTTGATTCACTTCAAGTTGGAGCTATTTTGTCAAAACTTCCTCCTTCATGGAATGGATATAAGAAAAAAGTTTTGCATTTAATAGATATTTTCATTATTAAAGAATTTTAAACTCATATACATATTGAAGTAAAAAATCGTGTAAGAGATGCACTCTTTCTTAGAGGTTCTAATGTGAATTACGTGAGTGAACAAAATTATGAAAAAACTCACAAGTCTTTTGGTAAATTTCAAAATAATTTTAAAGTCAAGAAGAATAGATTTAAGAAGTCTAAATTTAACAAGGACAAAATGTGTTTCCATTATGAAAAGAAATGACATTTGATTAAAGATTATAGATTTAAAAACGCTGAAATTAAGATTGGTTCTAGTTCTGAAAGCAAGGCAAATTTGGTTGAGCAAAAAATTAATAAACTTGTTGTAATGGTGACTGACATGCAAATTCAAACTCACATACAGATTGAAGTAAAAAACCATGCAAGAGATGCACTCTTCCTTAGAGGTTTCAATGTGAATTACGTGAGTAAACAAAATTTTGAAAAAACTCACAAGTCTTTTAGTAAATTTCAAAACAATTTTAAAGTCAAGAAAAATGGATTTAAGAAGTCCAAATTTAACAAGAACAAAATGTGTTTCCATTGTGAAAAGAAAGGACATTTGATTAAAGATTACAGATTTAAAAATGTTGAAATTAAGATTGGTTCTAGTTTTGAAAGCAAGGCAAATCTGGTTGAGTAAGAAATTAATGAACTTATTGCAATGGTGACTGACATGCAAACTAAAATGATCACCGAAATTTATATGACTACTACAAATAAATCATCTAATTGGTGGCTAGATTTTGGTGCAACAATTTATGTTTGCAACAACAAAAAGCAGTTCAAGACTTATGAAGAATGCAAGAAACCAAAAAACATCTTTATGGGAAATCATGTTCCTGCCAAAGTGATTGGAAATGGAACAGTTGAATTGAAATTTACCTCAGGGTAGAAACTAACTCTAATTAATATTTTTCATGTTTCTGAGATTATAAAGAACCTTGTATCTATAAATCTATTATGTAAAAAAGGTTTTAAGACTGTACTAGAGTCTGATAAAGTTATAGTCTCCAAAAATGGTGTATTCATTGGAAAATGATATTTCAATGATGGTATGTTTAAACTAAACATTGATGAAATAAATAATGTTTATGCTTATATTGTTGAGCATTTTTATTCTTTATGGCATGCTAGATTAGGATATTTAAATTATCATTATATGAATCATATGACTAAGCATGGTTATATAACATACCAAAAAAATCATGACATTAAATGCAAAATCTGTGTCAAAGTAAAAATGACTAAGAAACATTTTTCTAAAGCTGAAAGAAATACAAAATTATTAGAACTTATACATTCTGATATTTGTGAGCTAAATGGTTTATTAACAATGAGAGAAAAAAAGTATTTTATAACATTTATAGATGATAGTTCTCGTTATACTTTTGTGTATCTAATGAAAACAAAAGATGAAGCCTTTGATAAATTCAAATAATACAAATCAGTTATTGAAAATTAAAAGGAGAAAAAAATCAAAATTCTTTGAACAGATAGGGGTGGCTAATATTTTTCAGATTTATTTTTTCTTTTTTATGAAGATAATGGAATTATTCATCAAATGACAGCCCCTTATGCACCCCAACAAAATAGTTTAGCCGAAAGAAAAAATAGAACCTTGGTTGATATGGTAAATAGTATGTTGTTAAATGCTAAATTACCTCTGAATCTTTGGGAAGAAGCACTTTTAACAACATGACACATACATAATAGAATTGTTTCAAAAAAATTCTTAAAGACACCATATGAACTTTGAAATTATGGCAGAAAACCAAATTTGGATTATTTTAAAGTGTAGGGGTGCATTACCTTTTATAAAATACCTCATCCTCATAAATTAAAATTAAAACCTAAAGGTATTAAAAGTATTTTTGTTGGTTATGCACAGAATTCAAAAGCATATAGACTTCTTGATTTAAATACTAATGTTATTGTTGAATCTATTCATGTAAAATTTTTTGAAAATAAGTTTATATATGATACCAAAATTGATATGGAAAAACAAATTGAAATGATTCATACGAATGAAAATAATAAAAAAAAGAAAGTAATGATTCTATTGAAATTAGAAAGAGCAAAAGAGTTAAAAAAGATGATCTTTTACTTTCTGATTTTGTTTCTCCAGATTCTATAGTATTCCTAGTAGAAGGGAATAGAACCAAAGTGCTTAAGAAAATGTCAATTCTACTAAATGTAGATGGAGACCCTAAAATATTTAATGAAACTATGACTTCAAGAGATGTTACTTTTTAGAAAGAATCTATTAATGATGAAATAGACTCAATCATGTCCAATAATACATGGGTCTTGGTAGATTTACCTCTAGGTTCTAAACCTATAGGATATAAATGAGTGTTTAGAAAGAAATATAATACAGATGGTTCTATACAAACCTTTAAAGCAAGATTAGTTGCAAAAGGTTTTAAACAAAAGGAAAGCATAGATTATTTTGATACATATGCTCCAGTAGCTAGAATAACATCCATTAGAGTTCTTATAGCTTTGGCTTCCATTCATAAACTGCATGTGCATCAAATGGATGTTAAAACAGCCTTTTTAAATGGTGACTTAAAGGAAGAAATACACATGGAACAACCAGAAGGTTTTATTCTTCCAGGTAATGAGAATAAAGTTTGTAAATTAATTAAATCATTTTATGAGCTAAAGCAAGCTCTAAACAATGGCATGAAAAGTTTGATTCGATCATAGTAGCCAATGGTTTTAAACATAATAGAGCAGATAAATGCATTTACTTAAAATTTACTAAAGAATATGGAGTTATAATATGTCTCTATGTGGATGATATGCTAATTTTTGGTACTAATATGATTGGCATGAATGAAACCAAAAGGTATCTGATTTTTAATTCAAAATGAAAGATTTAAATGAAATTAATACCATTTTGGAAATTAAAATTAAGAGATATGATAAGGGTTTCATCTTTAATCAAAGTTATTATATTGAAAAACTGCTTAATAAGTTTAAGTATCTCAATATAAAAGAAACCAATACTCCATATAATACAAGTATAAAATTAACAAAAAATCAAGATAATGTAATTGCACAACTTGAATATGCTAGTGCTATTAGAAGTATTATGTATGCTATGCATTGTAATAGGCCAGATATAGGTTTTGTTATTTGCAAGTTATTGAGATATACAAGTAAGCCTAGTATAAGTAATTGGAAAGCCATAGGAAGAGTTTTAGGTTATCTTAAAAGAACTAAAGATTTTGGCTTATTTTATTCCAGAGATCCGACTGTTTTAGAAGGATATTCAAATGCAAGTTGGATCACTAGTATAAGTGATAATAAATCCATTTCAGGATAGATGTTTACCTTTGGAGG